GCACTTAGTAACTGTAATGGAGTGCAAGTTCCAGGCTAAAAGCTCATCCCTGCTATTGCTGACAATATTGACCTCAAAGAGCAAACAGAAGTTCTCTGAAAGGGCTGCAGAGACTCTGCCGTGACTCCCTTTCTCAGAGTAGCTTCACAGCTCTTGTGTCTTTGCTGGCTTGCAAGCTTCTCCTGTAAGCCAAGTAGCCAGCCCTGCTCCGTGCCTGATTCATCTCCTTGCTGTTTATTCACCCTTTCAAACAACCCTGTGTCCTCCACTCCCACTAATTAGTTAAGTCCAGTTCTGGCTACAGAAGATGAATCTTTCATGACTTTCTGAAAACCCTCCTGTTAGAAAGGTTTGAAAAATCTTAAAGAAAAAAAGTTCTACATTAAAATAAACTACTGTTGTAGCTTGTTGTCTAGGAGAGAGTTGTAGAACTGCCTTTTTGCTCTGAAATAACTTTGTATCTGCTCGCTGGGTGACAATGAGGTTTTCACTACTGTTGCTTCAGTATCCTAGTCTGCTGGAGGTAGACACAGGCTGCAGGCAGAAGGTCACAGATGTGGCTTTCACGCACTGAAAAACTGGCCACGTTGCAGAACTGTTTTGGGTCAAATCCATGGGTGTGGAGACATCACTTACAAATACCAGAGTCCTTCTCTGAAAGAACTCTAATCCTGATGTATCAGAGCCAAGCCTCCCTTTAGATAACTATGGCTGCTGTTTTGGATTTCTCAGAGCTGTGAACCGAGATAGTGCTGGAACATCTTCATATCACAGGCACTGAAATTTTGCAAGAAATGCTTTTTGATGGTACCTTGACTGCAATTTCTGCAGCTAATAGAGACATGTAAATGGGAAGGATATAATTTAGCTCCAGAGAAACAGCCTCTAAGGAAAGCAGCCTCTAATGAGAGTAGCCTCTAAGGAGAAGATCTCTAAAGAGAGCAGCCTCTAAGGATATAACAGCTCCAGAGAAGCAGCTCAGTCTTCTGTCAGACTAGACAGTGTGGCAGGAAGTTTACCAATATTCCTTCAGGTTTAAAAAAATACATCTGTAGATGTCTTTGCTTTACAAGTGAGACCGAGGTATCATCCACTCCAACAATAAAAGTCTGAAACAGAGCTGGTGTAGCAACTAATATAACAGGTTACGGGAGCAATTATATCTCCTCCTGACCATAGCAGAGGAGAAAGAGAGCCCATAAGCCAACCAGGTTTGTAGCAGCGAACCCTGTCAATGCAATGACATCTGTCTCTCTGTGCTGTTTAAAAGACATACATGAACGTTGCCCTCCCATGCTCTGTCTCTGTTGCCACTCTTCTCTCCATTCTTCCCTTACCAGTAGTCAAGTCTTCCACCTTGCATATTCTAAGCATCAGTGTGCAGACTTGTGGATATTACCAAAAATTTGTTACTGTCTGTGATGTCCCTCTAGTTGCTGTACTTTGGCCAACAGGCCCCACAGGAATGCCCTATTTTGAAAGCACAGAATTTTGAATTTGTTTCAGACTAGTTGTTGTTCTTCCTGCTTCCTTGCCAAGCTTTTCTCTGGCCACAAATCGATCTGATATGGCCTTTGGTAACATATCAAGTCTGGATTGTTTTTACCAAATGGAGGTTTTCCCAAAGAAGTACAGACAGGCTGACACCTAAAATAATGTTTTAGAAAATTGAATATACTTAAAAGCATGAGTGCCACAATGCTGGGTTGCCACTCCTGATTCGCCTTTGCTTTCTCCAGTGTGATGCATGGATGAGTGTACAACCAGGGAAAGTTGCATCGTTGTATCAGGAATAAGAGCATCAGGCACAGATTTGTGTCTTAGCATGTGTAAGATTTGTGAAGCCTGCACCGCCTTGTAACAGATACTTCAAAAATTCAGAATATTTCAGCAAAGATTTACTGATATTTTTGGTACTATCAAGGTTTAGGTTCCAAATTGCTGGGTTTTCCCCTATATTTATGATGTTCCATGTCAACAGACCTTGAAAATATTTTCTTTCCACTCTTAAGTTACTAGAAATTATTAATGATAGATTTCTGTATCAGAGTTTAAGATAAGAAAACAGGAGAGAATTTGATAAGCACGTGTTCCTAGTATCTGGGAGAAAGGAAAAAATCCAAAGAATATTGAAAAAAACACTCTTAGGAGCAAGCAGTTCCCAAAGCACGGAAACTTAAGAAGCCAAGTTTTTAATGGGTTTCAGTATCACAGATGACTGACTATTAAAAATGAATTACAGAAAAAGCTGTGGTGTGAATTTCACAGCATTAGACATGGAAAATTAATTCAACAACTGAGGATAAAAACCCTTCAGCTGGAGTTCGTGTCTCTTCATGTAACCCAGAGAACCTAGTTTTAATTTGGAAGTGAGGGAACTCATCTCCCATATGGGTCCTCTGTACAGCTGAACTTATATTACTTTATCTGCTCCCTCCTACCTGTCATCAGCTCCCTCAGCTGTCTACCTACAATATGTGCAGGGAGGTCATGGTTTGGTACCATAACCTGCCTGTGCTCTTTAACTCAAATTGGACAAAATCCAAAAGGTATTAGGAGTACTGGCAGGACACATATACTTGCACTTACGCACGTATGGTATGTGTGAAGTCTTGATTTTTTAGTAAGACAAGCTAAAACCTACGTAAATTTCATGTGAATTAGCACAACATTATCCCTATAATGATGTGGAGAAAAAGAAGCCCCAGCTTTCTGTGTAGTTCACTATAGACCTGTTCTGTCACACACTTCATCAGCCCTGGAAAACTGCCTGCAGTTCTGGTCAGTGAGCTAGAAGCTTGAATTATCTCTTGTTTTCATTGTACAATAAATTATAAAACTTACTGATCTATTCTCCATTTATACAGAATGGAGGGAAAGCTGGTGAATGGACTGGTGAGTAGACTGAAAAACTGTTGTTTAGGTCATTTACAGAGAAAATCCTGCCATGTCAGATTGATTGATTGGACAGGAATTTGTATATGTTTGTGCTTGGAAGACCAGCAAAGTGATTTCCATAGTTTTGAGGAAACACCCTTTTATTGTAGAGAAGTTTGTATACACAGATGCAATGTATTTACAACTGGCTTTTCTCAAACAGATGACTGTTTAAAATCCTTCACAAATCTGTCAAGAATGAATGAAAATGAAGCTCAGAAGCCCAGCCAGCCAGCCCAACCCCCAAATTCAGATTCATTCCCAAAGAGAACTGTAATGAGATAATAATACATGGAGTTGTTCTGAAGGAAGCAATAGGACTGTGTCATCAATGGGTGGACTTCAGGATTGGTGCAGTCAAAAGCATTGCTTAGTTTGATCTCAGAGCAGATGAACCCCAAAGTAAAATTCCAATAAGCAGATGGGGATCTGCATTTTGCAGGAATGTGGAAGAGGCAGGCAGGAGGAGTCTGGCCCTTCCTTCCCTGGCCTCTGCAAGGACAGGTCACAGTTGCAATCTCCATGAAAAGAAGTTGTTGGTCCTGTGTTTCCCTGGAAAGATCTTTTTCCAGAAAAAGGCAGGAAAAGCTGCATTCTTGTTCAGTCTGAACGATGGAGTCAGTGCACTGAGGGCAAGAACGGGCGTCCTCCTTAGGGAGGGTGTAGACTCATGCCAGCCAGCCACAGAAGAGACAGCACCGAGGTTTCTTCTGGTGCTCTTCCACACTGTGGCTCAGCTCTGCACTGCCCTTTACCTGGGGTGGTGTGCACTGGCATCAGTCTAGCTTCAGCCTGTTCAATCACCCCAAATGCAGAGGACACAACACAGGGGGAAATGAAGAGAGGTAGAGACACACATTATATTCCCTTTCCCTGTTCCTTTTCAGTTAAAAGTAGAACCTTCATCAACAACAAAAAGTTATATGTGCAGGAGGCACTTCTCCGGGGAATAAATAAATACCTTACACAAGCATTCATGGATGGATGAGTCCCATGGGAAAGATTCCCAGCACAACCAGTTCAGTCATAAAAGGAATCTAAAATCCCCATGCTGATGTCTATGAGAACACGCAAAACATTTCTGTTGATACTCAAGGAAGTTACATGCATAAATTTCCCATAGGTTGGGAACATATATCTTAGAATCTGCATAATTTAGTTCACACTCAGCAGAATACTGTGATATTTACAGGCACATTCCAACGGAAAAACGTTTGCATATCGAGTGCGAAAGTTGCGGCTTTGTCACCTAACCACGGGACGTTAAAAGCAGGGATTTTGTGACCTCAAAATATTATTTGTGAGGTTGGTGGGAAGGAAAAAGGTGTATAGGCAGGAAAAGAAACTTACCAAGAGTTGGTAAGAACTCTTTTTGTTTTTTTAAGTGTTAAAATGGTTGTAGGCTGGGACAAAGTGAGTCCATGTAGACCACAGGTTCTGGCTTGTTACACATCACAGAGTGCTTTGTCTACTCTTATTTCCCATACTTATTCTTCCCAATTAAATTTGTTTCACATTAGCCAGGTTGATGAGCATAGCGCGTAAGACTCATTCTTCTTCTTGTAATCATCATCCTTTATAGCATAACAACTTAATAAATCCCTGCAGAACAGGAATGAAGTGGAATGTCATCTTTTTGGACTTGGTCTGTATTCTGAAGGTGAAAGTGGGCATCTGAGAAGCATATTTGTAACACTTTGGAAGGTTCACAAATAAAAAAAAATGTAAGTTACACTCTCAGCCTGCTTGGGAATGCAACTTTCTATGTTCTCTAACACTGCATGTCAGACATGGTGGAAAAAGCTGTTCAGTGACTACCCTAACCTTAGCACTACCCAGAATTGCTCTGAAACTAGTTCACTAGTTTCTGAAACACTACTGTAGTTGCAGCAAATTATTAAAACTATCTACAGAAATGTAATGATACAATTTAGTTTTCAATATGTCAGCAAAACAGCAATGTATAACCATAGAGGTTATATCCTGGAAGTGGAATTATCAAACTATTGCTCCAATGTCTGAAAAGTAAAGCTATCCTCCCTAGGTGCACAGCACTCTCTCACTTATGCTGACACATAAGGTGGTGGTGGATCTTTAGCAGCTCCGTTCATAGGATCATCATATGGTGGCAACAGGACCTGCAGAAAAGGAAAAAAAGGTTATATTTTAAAAAAATAAGCTAAATGATAAAATTTACAGAAAAGAAAAGCCTTATGGCCTTTTCCTAAGAAAATAACAAAAAAGAGTAAATTAGTAAGCAGGAGCAGAACAGTTAGAAAATGAAGCACTATTAGTTTGAAGTTCCTCCTTTTCAATTTGTGAGGCTATTTTCATTGTGAAGGAAAATGTGATTTCTCCTCATTTCTTACTGACTCCAGTGACAGCTTGATTTCAGCCAAAGGTCATTCATTGACTGTACCTGAATTTGTCCAGCCTGCTAGTGACAGTAGCTGCTTATTCTGCAGCTCTCCTCTGTCAAGCGTGCTTAAATTATGTCTGCTGGAGGAGTGCTTGAACTGCTAAGCTGGAGTGAGAAAAGTCCGGAAAACCTCTCTTTCTGAGCTCTCCCTGGAACAGCTAATAATTACTTTGGGGTGGGGATAAAAAAAGAAAATGGAGAACAAATTACGCAATGTCTAAATAAATCTCCAGTTTTGTGCTTCTGGGGCACTCAGCCGTAAGAAGAAAGACCTACATTCCCATAAGCACTTCAGTGAATACTTAAACATCTGATAGAAATTAGGACAGCTTTAATCATATATCATTCCCAATCACAGGAGTCCAGGCAGCTTCCTAGGACATGGGAGATGCAAGTTCAGGCCACACTGGGCAGAGGAGAGATTGGAACCAAGATTTCTACTTCTTTAGGCAAGAAACCTAGCTATTATGCAATTTTTAATGGCACCAGCACTGACATTAATTAGATTGCATGTGAAAAGGCAACGGAGCACTTGGTCTGTGAATCCCAGCAGGGACTGAGGATAAAATAGATGCCTGAATGAAGAATGAGTGTATGTTCCCTAAAATATCCCAGTATTGCATAAGAATATCAGTTGTAATGCATTGGCAGAGGTATTTTATACAGCAAAATCAATTATTCATGATGGAATTTCCAGATTTATCAGTATTGCTTCTTGGACACTGAAAAGCACGTGAAGCTGATTGTCTAAACATACATAGGGAAAATCCTGATCCCAATAAAGTCAATGGAAGCTTCACCATGAGAGGATGTCACCTGTTCCTAAAGAAGTTGATAACCTGCCTGCAAAGAAGCATCTGTAATCATCCATTTTGGACCTCATCCACAACATAACAAAATCAGTGGGAATCTTTCTATAAATTTAAATAGACTTCGAATCAGGGTTTTGTGGGATAGTTCCAAGGGTGATTCACATTTATGCTTATGTGGGTTTACAGACATGTGTTGATGAGCATGTGTTCAAGTACATCTGTGCACGTTTGTTAGGTTACAGAATGGCTACCTTGACATCTTCAGCCCCTAATCAAAAAAGTTCCGTTATTTAGAAAAGGAAATTGTCAGGCCATCACTCTTTTTCAATACCATATGTTTGAGCTTGTAAATACAATACACTATGCACACTACATAATCAAAAAAACCATGTATTGAACAGCACTTTATAGATTATGTCAACTTTAAAGGGTGCAAACAGTTTACAGCAGACTAATCTAGTGAAATTAGGACAACATAGAGAACTTCAAATAAATATTGTGATGAAAAATCATAAACATATTTTGCGATGTAACTTCAGTGAATCAAACTGCTAAAGCATGTAAACTGTGAAAAACACTACAGTTGAGAGCCTCTCCCTAGCACTAATCATTAGTTTAATAACAGGGTTTCTAGTAAAATCCTTGCGTTACTAAAAAGGCACTAGTTTCTCAAATGTACTGAAACATGTTCATTAGTTGATTACGAAGCAATATAATTTGTAATTAAATCTGATCTACAGATGACTCTGAAAATGAATCCAGTTCACTTTGTGAAGATTCTGCTGTCTTACTGCACTCTTGTAATGCTAAGCCTCAAACTGTGGTCTGTTTCTTTCAAGTTCAGAGTCCATTTCATCAGATGTGATAAGAAATGACAGCAGACACAACCCAAAAAGCTGTCCATCTTCCAGGTCTATGAGCTGATTAATAAAGGACAATACCTCTTCCTGTGCTCTGATCCTCTTTTAGATCAATGTGTGCTAAGACTACTGTAGTTCCATCAGTATTACTACTTCAGCACTGAGGTCACTGTCATTTGTCATGGGTCTGCTAGAGGGTTTACTGAGATGAGTGAGTCTTTTCATTCCCTTCACTCCAGTATGAAACAAAATCTGTCTGGCAGCAGAACAGCCTCCCGGTGAGCACACACCACTTTGCACTATGGACCCAAAACTCATATGTGGGTCAATGGCCCCAAGAACCCTCAGACAATGCCTTGTCACTTACCAACAGTTCAGCAGTAAGTGAGGGAGACAGGAATACCTACAGGAGCCATTTTGGAGAAGCCACTAGCTAAATCCTACGGCATATAGATTTCTACAGGATATCCTGGAAGGTTTCATACCCAAGGTTTGTTGGGTATGAACTGGGAAGACCACTAAAAGGGTTCAGAAGTTTCACAAAAAAATATCTGCAGTGGAAGGCTAACGCATATTTGCAAATGTCTGTAAGGTTTAGGGTGACTTTATTGCTGGCAAAGGTTATTTGTTTTAACAGTTCTATCAGTGATGACTTTACAGGCTTACTCCCCACACATTTTCGTGTTTAAATATTTCAATATCCTGATGTGACATGAACAAAATAGTGATAAAAACCAAGTGTAGAATGAGCAGAATTCAAAATTACTACCTTTGCCTAACAGTGTTTGCATTAGATAAAGAAACTATGGACAGGATATTAAACAAAGGTTAAGGTGAATGAAGGTATTGGATAAAACATGGAAGAAAGCACTGAGTTTGTGGAATACATGGCTGGGACCCCAAGTACCTCATGTCATTAACATAGCAAAAGTCTTTTAAACTAATTTGACTGTTCAACTTTCAGCCAATGTGGTTTTGGTTTTGTTACTTTGTCATCTGTCAACTCTAAGTCTAAATAATCATCCTTCAGCTTCCATGACAGCTTGAATAACTCTGCAACCACTCTAGAAATACAAATCTTGCAACTCTGCCTCTGTAAGACTACCTTTTAATTATTTTTTACAAAAACAGTTTCAGGCCATTACTTCCCCTTAACAATTTTTCCCTCTTTTCTCAATTAAATCAATTTTTTTAAGTTAATTTTGGCAAAAGGGAAGAATATGATAAAACCTGAATAATCTCAGCTTTTAACTGTTTACTGTTGGAAAGGTTAACAGTTTACAAAAATCGTAAGGAAAAGAGAAATTCATTAGAATTTTAATCATTGAATTTATACCAAAGTATCTGATATGAAAAGCTGGATCAGCGTGGTTTTCCGTTCTCTTGTGTTAATTTTAAATCTCAGCATGGTTTAATGGAAGCAGGTAAGTGCCTTGGACATAAAACAGCATAGTTATTCAGGCAGAATGTTACAGTCTCCAGAGACATAAAATGGAAGCCAGTCACTGAGCCAAAGGGTGAATTCAGAAACTGGGAAAATAAACAGAAACTCACTACTCAGTCTTATGTAAGAACCTAATTAGAATAGATGCAGTCTAAAATAATTCACGAAGAACAAAAATATGCATGTTTTAGGTCCATGGTATCCCCAAGGTACAACATGCCCCAGAACAACTGATGCATTTTGCTTCCTAGGCACTGCATTTGCTTGCTTGTTGTGAATTGGGAAAACTGTATGTTAGTTCCCCTGGATGCTCTAGGACTAATGTTTACAGGGTGTTTGAGATTGTCACTTGCAAGTTACTACAAAACGTAGGTATGAAGGACCCACATTTTTGGAACTCAGTGATCCCTGTGAAAAGAAGTTCCTGGCTTTTTATCAGTAGACCAGCAAGCAAGTTTGGAAGATAAGATGGTTGCAGGGCTCAGTCCTACAAGATGCCTAAAATCCAAAGGACAGAAGCTCCTGACTTCTTTCACAACCCCAATAATTGTATTTAAGAACCATGTAGCATTTTAACATCATCCTTTAATATGCAGTCAGTGGAGGAGGTGACATGACTCACTGTAGAGTTGTCTGGTGATAAAAGCATTGCACAGAGACTCTTGCAATCAGAGCTCTAGGGGCTCCCAAACCAAGAGGGTTCAACCCACAGCTCCTGCCATATGAATGCTCCAGACACAAAGTTTTCAGTCAGGTTGGAAGAACCATTTTCCACCTTTCTGTTGTCACAGTGAAGCCAAGTGTGCAAGAATCCATGGGGAAAGAAAGAAAATAGGAGAAAGTGTGACTCTGTAGCCCCATGGGCAGGTTAGGTCCTTAAGTGAGACAGGGAGTCCTGGGTGCTGGGTTTTGCTCCCAACACCATTTAAGCATTTTGTGATACGCAGTCTTGCTGTATTAATACAAAGAAATAATCCAGAACTGACCCATGAGGAATCCTGATCCTGACTTAGCTGTCGTCATCCAAGTGGTTTGAATAATTGTATTACATAAGCATCTCTCTATTATAAACCACATGGTACATGATGACCTTCTCTGGAAGAAATAATTACCTACAGGTTTGCCAAAGGCTATAACGTATTCAACTGATATAAGCATTTGTCATTTCTTATTTTTTACATTCTGGTTAATCTAGTTTTGTAGAACAAGCTTTTAAAAACATTGCTTAGAAATATGCCTAAAGAAGAAACACAAGCAAATACTTGTATATTCAAACAGTTTGAAATTAATCTTGGCCCAAAGGTGTTTTTTTTTTTTTGGGGGGGGGGGAAATTGGCTTTCGATAGTCACTCTGCACCTTTGCAGCTGATTCCACATTTACCTAAACTTCCAGTAGAAAATTTTCTTTCTTCAGCTTAAGTTCAAGTTTCCTCATATTGCTGCCATTATTGCTGTTTGAACTCAAACTCTTAGATCTGTTTGGTATCTAGTACATTTGTAAAGAAAATGTGCTTAGTCCTGTATGAGTAAACTTAAATATTTGATTAATTGATTACTTCTACATTCCTGATAGTCTCACCCAAAACTCACTGAACTCAAAAGA